GTTTTCAATCCATGTTTTACAACTGGCAGAGTTAACCCATAATACATTTTATACAACAATTCACCCTTGTAACTCGTATGGACAAAAGCAGGTGCTCATACAACAAAAACTCAAGAAATTTCATTCAATCTCTGAGCAAAGAGCCAGAGAGAGAGAGAGAGAAAGAGAGATACAGAGACAAAAATATTTTAGTACAATTGAGAAATAATTTCTTGCACTGTTTCAATTCAAATATCTCAAGTGATGCTTCTGCTATAGAAAATTGTTTTCTTTTTTGTTTACACTGAACACACTTAAGATCTGTAAATTGTCAGAGCACATATCACATACAAGTAGTGGCAAAAAATGCTTAGATATTCATATTTACAACCAAGATCACACAGAATTCTCCTTTTTTTTGTTTCAACTCTACATGAACTATACATTCACATTCAAAATGCCTGAGATTATATTTCAGATAATTTACAAATAGTGGCTGGTGTCAGAAGGTGTTTATCTCTCTGTGGTAAGTGAGTTACACATCAAACAAAGCTTGGCATCAGCGAATTAATTACATGTACAACTATGAATCAGTTAGTCTATCTTCTACACAAATTGATCTGACCTAATTTACCCCCCTTCCCTTTCCCGCCCACAACTAGCTTCCTATTAAAGAAAAAAAGTCTATATTTCACATCAAATTAAACAAATGGCTACTTTCACACAACACCACATTATACACTACTGTTATTTTCTTTAAGATTATTCTACATTTGAAACAACAATGACTGTGTTTACCGTGTCTAAAAAATAGACTCACAAAAACATTTCTCTCTCTTCGTTCTGGTAGTAAAAAAGAAAAATCACCTAGCAGCATTTGTGTATTTGAATTGTTTTCAACAATTTTGACCAAAAATATTGAAAGAAAAAATAAAATAAAACTGAACACAAAATCTAACTTTTGTTAGTCTAAATTATTTGCTATCTAGAGAACAATGAAACAAATACTTATATTAGGGTGAAATTAATCGGTTGTAACCATTTCATTTTAACCATTAATACTTAATTTTTACTCTTTTATTTAGCATCAATATTAGCAGCATCATCACAGTGGTTATACTATGACCTGCCTCTTTCTAAGTAACATTAATAATACTTGGAATATCTAAATTAATCAGGTGATTTTTTTCTTCTTCAAAATTCCTATTTCGGTGTTCATTTGGCAAAGAATGCAAGCTACTAATTAAAATACAAAGTCTTAAAACAAAGAGGAAAGAATTAACTCTATTCTGATGGAACATAAAGAGATGACAATTTTAGTGCAGTCCTTATCTTTTGAGTTGTAAAGGTCGTGTGAGAAGGACAAAATATGATACATTTAAATAACATCTTTAAGATATGCATGATATGACATATAGAAAAAGTAAAATGATCATAAATATGAGGATTTATTCCTTTGACTTTTATAATAAACTGTGCATTTTGTGATAACAAAGCCACATACATAAGCTGACTAGGTTTCTGGATATATTACAGTGACTACATCTTATTCGAAACGATTTCATCCATTCATAGATCATCATCATCTCTTTCTTATAAAGTCAAAAGCACATCACAAATTTAGGCAGTCCACTCGACAGATCTGCAGTATAAATTGAGCAATAGGGGAAGCATTCAGTATTTCAGCTACAATAACTCAAAGATTTCTCTTATATATTTCATTTTTACTTTTTTTTACAACACGCAAGTGTTTTCTAGTTGAACTAGTATAGAGTCTTCACAACGACAGATATTGATTTTAGAAACTTCCTTTTCAATTTTGACATAGCTTAATTTTTTAGAAACACAAGCATACCTCTTCACATAAACGTGATTATAACGAAAATGAAGATGTACATTTGGCAAAATGGGAATCACTAAAAAGCGTCTACCCAGCGTAATATTTCAGTACGTATACCTTGGGTTTATCATGTATAAAACATGTTCGGATAAAATTATTTCATTTCTGTATTTCAAAAAACACTTCAGAAAGAAATATTGTGCATCTTATTTAAAGTGATAATAATACATGACAAAAAACATGATTTCAAAACAGCAATTTATTTGCTTAGCAAGAATAATATTGTTTGGCAATGGTTGGAACTGAGTTGAACTATTCTACAAAAATGATGTATATCATCTGGTTCACATGCATAGTCTCACAATGATTAAAAACCAAAGTAATTGTTGAGTTGTTTAACCACATCGATTGAGTTTGACACAATCATTTATCCTCATCAAAGACAAAACAAAATAAAAAAATCATCCTACTATCTTCCCGAGCCATCTTAAACCTTCTGTGCGATCAACTTAAAATGAAACCAACACTTGTCTTAAGTGTAATTTATGAGGTTAAAACTTTCAATCAACATGATGGTTTCATTAATAACCTGGCTTGTAAAATATTCCACCAGATTAAACTTTAAAATGAGCCTACCCATTTCTGTTTCAGGACAAATTACATTGGAATTCTTAAATTTGTCGCAAATTTGTCAAAATCTCAAATTCTTGGGCAGTATTTGCTCCTCCCCCCCCCCCCCAAACATGGACAGGATTAATGTCATCATAAGTTTCAAGGGGAAAATGCCAAAGAAATTGTCATTAATATTTAAATTCATTTAGATAAATGCACATGTGAAGATTTAATCTTGGAAAATACACAGATGACAGATGATGCTACATTGTTTTAGCCTGTGGCTATGTTCTCTGAAACAAAACTACATATGTCTACTAAAGAAATGCAGTATATATATACTCTATTATTATTATTAAGAATGAGTACAACTATTTTTTTAGTAAACAATCTTGATTTTACCAGATACTGAAGTAAAATATAGATTAAAAATCATCAAACATGGCCATACCTTATCTCCTGTCAGCCGTAATCAATTAGTTAATTTAAATGAAATATCAAACAATGATGATAAAAACAAAGATTCCAGTAAAAGATTTTGTTAAAAAGAAGTGACTCTTGTAAATTATTTTGAGTGGCAATGAAATCTCATATTTAAATTATATGATAATGTTTACTTTGTTGTTCTTAAATTGGTAACCAAATAACATTCATAGACAAGAAAAGAAAAAAGATATAGTTGGAATTCAACCTCACGATATGAGTATGAATATCTACCTTGAGACAACCGCTTACATACATGGATGGAATTCAGATTAATCTGACTGAGAATTAAATCTGTTGAGACTTTTCTTGATCAGGTATTCCGTTCAAATAATTATGAAAATGACTTACACAATAAAGAGATGCGCTCTACACAGTTCACAATACTCTTCCAAAAAGTATGGAGACATTGCTTAGCCAAACAACTCACAGAAAATAACCGACGACACACATTTGACTAAGGCTTTTCAAATCTTTTCCACTCTGTTATAAGCTACTGTTATAAGCTACTATAAAAACGACCCTGGTCTCCAATCCTATTCAATGCAAAAAAGTATGATGCTATCACACACAGAATTATTACTTAATCCTTCATTTTAGTCTTACACAAATTAGCTGCTGCCTGAAGCAAAACATTTTGGATAATATAAAAAACAAACACAAAAAAAAGATTAAAAAAAGTAATGACTCAAACATTATCTCAAGTATGTTTTTTTTTTTCAGTATCAATTCAAAGTTTGATATTTTTCTACACCATAAATTTATCAAAAAATTAAAGGAGCCGTATTATTCTTCATTCATTATTTGGAATATGGCAAACACATCAAAATAAATAGCTTCAAACCTGTCCATGAATGAATTAAATAAATTTAGAAAAATTCATTGATCAGTTGTAATCATATTTTAGGAGACATCCAATGGCAAAAATGATAAATCAGATTAATAACTGAAATCAAAATGTCCCCTGGAAATTCAGCTAAAGCTCACATGTTAAAACCTACATGAATACTACTGAGGTCCATCAAAATAATTTTTGAAGTAGTATTCATCTGGCAGTTTACTTTTCCAATTTATAAAACATATCTAGACAATATATTTTCATCTAATTTCAGAAACTAGAATTCCGTTTCTCTTTCACGGCAGGATATAATTGGTGCAAATGACTGGATAAATACCATCTAGAGTTTAGTCAATAAACCTCTTTAATCTTGGAAAACTAAAACTGAAAATATTGAAATCAGGCAGTTTGGGTAGTTTTGATCCTCTATATTTGGATTACAAAAAGAGAAGAAAGTGATGTGATAAGTATTTTATAAAAACTTGCAAATATCTCATCACAGAGAATATAGAATTTTGAAAATACTCTTCAGAATTGTTTGCGTATATGCCATATACAAGTTTCAACTGTCAATATTTCACTTTTTTTTGCTAAATAAAGATAAAAGTCATAGTGGGTGAGGGCAGCTGGAGGCTCAGCATAACAAAATATTTCAAAAGATTTGTATTTCAAGTTACCTACGGTATACCATGGTTTAACCTATACAGTGAAGGAGCGTAGTCCACATGATTGCCAATATGAAAAGAGATTTGATTTCAATGAAATGGGAGAAGAAAACTTCCACTGTTATATGTTCTATGGCAAATGATTATCTAAGTATGAAATAAACTGAAAACCTATTAAAGGGTAAATGGTTTTTAATCAGTTAAAAAGGAAATTAAAAACAGGGAAGGTACCCTTTTAAGAGTATACCTGACGATTTTTGTAAATGCCACATAAACTATTCTCACAGGTAGATATGTGAGACACTACGGGATTACATCTCCATATCTTATATTACAAGATACATGAGCATGTTCTTACTTTAATATATCAGGGTATATTACTCCACTCCATCCAAAAACTGTAAAATGTAAACACACCCATTTATAATAGTGCAAGCCGCCATGAAAAAAAGATATATTCAACTCGGCAGTATTGTCATAAAGAGTATCATATGCAACACCTGTCTAGCTATTCATACACTTACAAGTATCAACTGAAAATCTCAAAAATAGAACAAATTTTGTAATTTCGATATGTTCCTTGACTGGATCGTCAGACCGCGCTAACTGCTCTCAGCAGCTTCCTCTTTGTCCAGATCAAAGATTTCTGCGTGGAGGGGTGGAAAGCTGACACCAGGCTGGCGTATCTTGAGGTCCATGAGGCGTCGCGTGTGCTCCGGGCTGATCTCGCGCAGCTTGGGGATCGTGGTGAGCAGGCGAGCGAACAGCTGGTCGTCGTCGGGATGGTTGTCGCTGATCTCCAGTTGTAGGGCCTTGAGGAGGTCGAGCTGGACTTCCCTGATCAGCTTGCGGTTCTTGAGACCTGGTCGATCTACGAGACGATGAGGGGAAGGGAAGATGGAGTAATGAGAGAAGGAAGGAAGTTTAAGATAAAACTTGCAATACTGATTTTTTTTTAAATAACTCCATACCTGCCAACCTTCCACAAACATTAGAGAGCACAATGATGAATACAGTGCATGTAGAATGCTTTAGATCAGACTATTCTTTGACTATATGCGCACAGTACGCTACAGAGGACACATGGCGCCGGCAACGAATGCTTTGTGGTCAATATCCTACATCAAATGATTTCTTGAACTTGAACCCTGGATGAGACAATATACCTTAACCCTGACACTGACCCTAAACCTATCCTAAGACCCAATCACAACTCTAACCCTAACCCTACACCTAACCAAAAACCCTTACTGCAACCAAAACCCAAACCCTATGGCTTGAATTCACAAAGGAGGTTTGTCAACAAACCTAGGTTTATGTGCGTCATATGAAAGGCGTCATATGATGCACATAAACCTAGGTTTGAGGACATCAGTAGCAAATGTGGAAGCACCGATGAGACCTATCTCACCTGCTGACATGATGACCACGGCTGACATCAGAGCGTACTCGCTATCGTCCAGCATCATACGATTGACCCTCTGACCGAAGTCAAAGAGGAGATCAAAGAGGTTTCCCATGGGCATCTTGTGGGCGTCCACAAGGCTGAAGGTGTCCCCGGTCGTCCACCAGTAGACCGTGTTGGTCGCCACGTCCACCACCGTGGAGAATCGTATCGTCAGCACCTAATAGGAAGAGGGTGGGGTAGGAGAAGATACAATTGGAAGATTCTGTGAGTAAAGACATATAAACTAGAGCTCAGTATGATTGAGGTGCGCACGATTTACACAAGAATTTTTAGTAGTTCTATTCTAGGTAATTCTGAGTGTGGTGACATTGAAGCAAGGAAAAAAATTCTTTCTGAAAAGTACTCAAAATTGTCATGAGATATTTGTTTCATTTGAGGGATTAAAAGTTTTACCTCCATGAAACAATGTTATTAGAAACATATTTCTATAAATCTTTTCTTGCCATTACATTTAAACTCTTCAAGATTCAAAAATTGAGGTTTTAACTTTATGAAGTTGATTTCAAATATATCTAATGAAGGAAAACAATTATTATTTAGGCCAAAACTTAAAGTGCTTCAAAGTAAAGAACCAATCATGTCCCTTTCACTTAGATACTGAAGCATTTGTGCATGTGATCTTACCTCAAATAGTCCTGTCTTGATGAGTGTGATCTGATCTTCTCTATCCAGCTGCTTGAAGCCGGGGATCATCTTGCTGAAGTTGACGATCCTGGTGATCTGGCTGGTGAATTTGTTGGAGAAGAAGGTCCACATCTTCTGACCATCGATGGGGCCTTCAGAGGGGTCCAACTCCCTGGGTGGGATGGGACCGGTGGGGAATCCTGGAGGGGGATCGCACTTGCTGCAGTCATGGTCGTACTTGGAGTGTAACTGCAAGGTTGGTTGGGAGAAGAACATAGGTTAACTTTACGTTATTGCTGCCTTCAGAAACTTTACAGTGAATCAATTACGGTAAACTTTGCTGAACGAAAGGTAATTTTCTACAGATTTGTTAATGGAAAGATCACATGACATAACAGGTGAACTTTATTTTTTTTTCATTTAGAATGTGGGAAACCTGTCTAGAATGGTTAAGGAAAGCGGGAAGAGTAGAAGGTAAAGACCTGTCATCATATGGAGAAGAGCAGTGATGGAAGACTTAGAGCAAATGAGATTGAGCTGGGAAGATCGAGGCAAAGAATCTAGGTGAGGACAAAACCAGGTGGAAGAAAACAGGTTGCTTTTCTCAGTTTGATACTTACCCTTCCATTTAGCTCTTCATCTTCTCCTAGTTCCGGGAAGTATCGCTCCCTCAGGAATTTAATTCTTCTGAAGGTGTAGTGGCAGGTGTCATGGTAGACTTTGTTGACATCATGGATGATCTTCTGAAGCTTTGTCTTCATCTCTGGCGTGATGGGTTCATTGGGGTTGAAATTATCCAGCATGCCACTACGAGGAGTCTCCATCTTGGGTTCATCCTGCAGGCCAGGTTCCTCTTTGATGAACTGCTTATGGTTCTGATGGGGAGACGATGGTGACTTCGACAGATGCGGAGATGGGGAGAAGGACGGCGACCTCTCTGACTTGTCGGGGTCTGGCGTTGACCGGACCCTCTGGTGGAGCGGGTTGTGTGGAGATTTGGGATTGAGAGGCGAATGGTTGCTCTTGCGATCCATGGAGGCGTGGTGCATCTTGGCACTGTGAACCATGAAGGGACTACCCATGGGGGACATGGCCATTGAGAGGTGAGGTGGAGAGGCTGGCATGAAGGATGAGGAGATTGCAAGAGGAGGTCTGGTCATGGCCATGGGGGACCAGGGTGAACCCAGAGGTGAATGGGAGGGCAGGAATGTTGCCGGGGACATACCCTGAGGGAAGGATGAGGGAATTTGAAAAAACTGGCCACTGGGGCCCTGTAGGGTTGAATATGAGGTGATCTGCTTGCCGTGCGGTAGCGGGAATTCCTCTAGTGACTTGCGTCGCTTCATCGACACCCCATGGGCGTATTTTGAAGATGACGGGGAATCTCTGCTATCCGATCTTGAGCTCTTCTCTTCATCTTCTTCACGATCGTGATCGTCCATATCTGCCTCAAAATCTTTCTGATTGTCAATCACCACTACTGTTGGACTTGGTGGTATAACTATATCCCTGTGCCCCTTTTCTGCATCCCTCCCTTCCCTGGAGACATCTTTAGGTATTAATATAACAGGTTGTCCTGATCGTAGCATCTTAGAGATAGTAGACATAGGTAGCCTGCTGTAAGCAGCCTCATCCACCTCCATGGCTGTGGGCTGCTCACTAGAAGGGGCACTTTCTGAGCGGTACGCACAATGCGAATACTCCTCCTCAAACTTATCATACTTATTCTGGGGTACGCTCGGTGAGGTGTCGTGCCTCTGTGCAGAGTTATTCCCCGGTGAGCTCAACTTGACGGCTGAATACAGATCCACGCCGTTGCCTCGTGGATCTACTGCCCTGAACGGTGGGGTTGATAAACTTGTGATTGTTGGTGACTGCATGGCACTCTGCTGCATGGTGGCTGATGGGCATGTGTCTTGACAGCCCGTGACTGACGATCGTCGACTGTGGATCGGGGGTGGGGAGCCCTCAGGTGGGGTTGAGGTTTCGTTATAAGCAGGGTCTCGATCCTGACCCCCTTGCTCAAGTTCTTGTTTGATGATAGTGGAGATGGAGCGCATGTGTTCCATCACCACCTGTGGGTTGACCTGGCCGTCTCCGCCCAACATGGCTGCCATGGGGAATCCCCCCATCCCACCTGCCATAGAGGGGTGGCCATACATGGCAGCCATGCCTCCCATAGGCATCCCACCCATTCCTGGAGGCATATGGTGTCCCAGCATGGCTGCCTGAGGTCCACCTGGATGATTCATTCCTCCTGGTGGCATTCCTCCCGGCGGCATTCCACCCGGTCCGTACTTCCCTTGGGCAAACAGGTCTGGATGGTTGCTATAGAAACCAGCCGGCTTCACTGTCATGTCACCCTGGTTGCGTTGCTTGGCGATGGTCTCATGCATCTTCTCTATCATCCGCTTTGACCTCCGACCTAATCTGGATCCTGCAATAGAGAAACAGAAGAGAACAAGGAAATAATTAAATGTAACCTACAACAAGAAATTGAATTCATAACATATTACTATATTGAATTATGTCAACATACAAAATTTTTAAGAACAAGAGTTGATATTTTACAAATACATAGTGCTTCATGGAGGCAGGTAATGACCATATGCCTGGGACACTAAGAAACATGTTGAACCAATAACTTTAAGGTCATATAAATAATAACCCAAATAAACAGCTCGAAATGGATAGTCCAAAGGTGTCAAATTGTTTGAAATTCCTACTCCCATTGTGAAGAAGTTATATTTTTGTCACAACATTAAAACAGTTTAGCTTCCATAAGATTGGGGATTATTGAATATTAAAGTTCATCCATAAATTGCACCAAAAAAAAAAAAAAAACCCATTTAATTTGAGATTGGGATCATCTACTGATGACTTAGGAGCTCCTCTTGCACACAAGTTCACCTGCAGGGTAGCTGATGCTCTGTATAACTTCTTATAATAGAACAGAATACACATTGCTCATTATCCCATTACACGACAATTGACCTTAAACCAAGAAATGCCCAGGACTCTGCAAGGAAATTGGACCTTAATGGATGCGATTGTCGCCCCCCTTGGTTCCGATCATTGTGCATTCCTACACATTTCCTTTTCCAATTGGAGGTTAATTGGAACTGTCCGTGCCTGGCATGGAGAATGAGTTTATAAAGAAGAGGAGATCAAGATTAGCCGTTCTACTGGTATCGGTGTATGTTGGACTCCTACTAAAAGACCCTTTTTTTAATAGGCAGGGACTGTATCATGAGAGCCTGTAATTGTGAAGAATATTAATTTCATGTGAATGTAGGAATGAACAAAAGAATATCAGACGGAGAAAGAGAGGATACAAGGGGCGAGAATAAAGAGAGAAAAAGGCAGAAATAGGGATAGAGAAGGAGAGAGTTAAAAAAAAAGAGGCCTAAGAGAAGGAGAGAAAGAGAAAGAGATACGAAGGAAGTGATTGGGGAGAGGGAGGGTGAAAGAGTGAGGATGGAGAAAGAAAGAAAGTGAGGGATGGAGAAAGAAAGAGCGAGGGAGAAAGAGAAAGGAAATAGGGAAGGGAAAGGGGGAGAGAGAGAGAGACAGAGAGAGAGGGTGGGGAGAGCATTTCCTAGAATTGACAGGAGTTGTCAAGTTTTCCAAATGCCAAGGGACATCACATACCACATCCTTGTAAAACCTCCTCATCGATCGGTCACAGTTATTATGCAATGGCGACAATGTGACTGAAGCATGGTTAAACATTAAAAACAGAACAGGCACAACCAAGAGAACTCGACACATTTCCTCCTATAACCACATGATTATAGTCTTTTCACACATGAAAAGTGTGATCTTGAGGTCGGCTGCCAGCGCAAGCACAGACCAAAGCGAGTGACAAAGAAGAACCTTGATTCATTATATAGGAATAAAATTGACTACTACTGAAGGCAATATATATTTTATGTGATTTTGAAGAATCTATATAGGATTTAAATGCCTTTATTCTTATTTCTCCCCAAACACCATATAAAAGTCCTGAAGTATGAAATGTTAGGAAACTATTTATTGTGCTCAATGATCGAGAGAGAGAGAGAGAGAGAGAGAGAGAGAGAGAGAGAGAGGGGGGGGGGGGGGGGGGTGAAAGATATAGAGAAAAATATGTAGGTAGAGTTAGAGAGAGTGAGAGAGTGAGAAAGAGAGAGAGAGAGAGAGACAGACAGACAGACAAAGGTAGATTTGAAAAGTAAACCTTGCATGGCTGTTAACCTAATGCGCATCAATTCTTCCATGCACCGGACACGTCCCATCCGACCCGACCACCGGTATGAACTCAGGATGACATATCTTTGATGGATCTCCTCTTCCCATCCCCTGATTGCTCAGATATTAACCCAAGATTGACCAGTAATCAAGAGATTTTCAGCCGTCACCCCACTGGCTACTCTAATCAATTTCCAAACAGAGATCAAGAAAGTTTGGAGGAAGGGAAATCTCAATTGGATGTGAAAACAGTCCCGAGTGGCCTTCACCTCTATTATGCCAGGTCTGACTCAGTTGGCTTCTCCCCCCCCCCCCCCAAGTGACCGTACTTCTAACCCCTCTCGTCTGTCTGTCTCACCTGACCTTTTACCACTTGTATGATATTCTCTCTAATCTATTCATGTTTTAATAGATAATAAACTTTATAATGTTGTGGTGGGGATATACTTTAAATTTACACCTATCTTTGCTGGATGTCTTTAGCGAATCATATGTCTTTTCTAGGTTATTCTATGGCTACAGTTCTGTTGATTTGATTTACATTTAATTTATTCACCACTTTCATTAACAAAAAAAAATGTGCAAAGGTCAAAGCTCTTATGTTGCACCCTTTTCATCTTTACCACTCTTATCTGCAATATCATCCATTAAATGAATACAAAAATATCCTTGATATGTTTACTCTTTGTTATAGGCCTTCCTTGAATCATCCACATTTATCAAATTTTCTGTCACAGTCTCTTAAATTTATCCCTCTTCTACTCTTTACCTCTTTGCTCTACTGCACTTATAATAAAAATGATCCCATTTTCAATAGTTGTATTATCCTTGTATTCCTTATACATGTACTTCTGTCCCTCATCCTCTATTCAAAACCTAATCAAACATATCCTCCTTGCTATTTTATTTCTCTCCTATCTATTATTTATCTGTCTTTATCAGTCTGGCTATCTCTCGTTCACCCTCTCCTCATTTACCCATCTCCTCCTTCCATCCTTTTGTCGGCTAATTTCTTGACCGTCTCCCTCTAGCTTCTGTGGTTGGAGATTGACCGGTAATAAAGACTGCAGCCCATCCCTGTGGCTCCACTGGCAATTTGGGAGAGGAGTCGGAGGGAGGGATATCTAAATTGGATGTGAAAACAGAGCACATGCCCTCCGCTGGAGAACGTCTTACCGTCTCAGCCCGTAGACTCGTCATTATGTGCCATTATCTTTCTCATTCTCTTTCTCTTTCACATTTCCTCTTAATATCTGCATCTTTTTTTCTCCTCTATTCTGAATATGCTTGTCATACGTCTTCTCTCTCTCTCTTTCTCTCTTCCCTTCATTATATATTCCCTTCTTTCCTATCCATTCCTCCATCTCTTTCACTTCCTCTCATTCTCCCTCTTTTTCTCTCTTTCTCTCTCTCTCTCTCTTCCCTTCATTCCATTCTCCCTTCTTTCCTATTCATCCCTCCATCTCTCTCACTTCCTCCGATTCTCTATCTTTCTCTCTCTCTCTCTCTCTGCTCTCTCTCTCTCTCTTTCTCGCTCTCTCTCCCCCTCTCTCTCTCCGCTCTACATTCCACCTCTCTCTTTCACCCTCTCTCCCCACATGTTATTCATGTTTCTCAATACAACCTGCATCCCTCACAATTTCCATTTTCCCTTCTCCTGTCCCACCCACTCTCTCCATAGTCTGGATTATTTTTATTTGTTGATTTAAAAAAAAAAGAACCATACCGTTTGTCATGACGATAGCTTTAGCATTTTAACATTATAATCTTTCTTTTTTGAAATATTCTCAAACTTTCACTCTAGATCGCTTACCATTTTCTACATCATTCCACCGACTCCATAGAATCCATTATAAATTATATTTCAGACAAATGTAGAAAGAAAAACAAAAATTCAAAAGAATAGATGAAAGAATGAAAGAATTTTTCACACTTCAATCCCAAACCTTAGACCCAAACCTGGCACCAGGCTAAACTGATTTATTTGAATTCTGAGACTAATCCACCCTCTTTTGCAACAAATGACCATGAATCTAGATGCCGGCTGTACCCAGGAATCTTACTGGAGCCTGCAAATAATTCCCATATTTATGAAAACATAATTACTCTTTATATAAATTCTACCCGCAGCTAAATTGCTTTAGCCTTCATTTAAAAAAAAATATATGATATATAAGCAACTCTCCAATGAAAAAAATATGATATAAGCATCAAATAAATGAAATTTAAACTGGTAATATAGTGATAGTATATGTGATAGATTAATGTATCACTATGAGAGACATTATAGTCCATTTTAGGTGAATCTACTGGTTGTCGGGTCAGATTTCACAACTTTTAATCACCTTGACTGATGCTGCTAATCAATCAAATTACCCTCCTATATACCACTAGGTAACAATAAGAAATCTTCAATTAATACTAAAGAGCAACAATTTGGGTTTCTGCACTTTTTCAAAGCTAAATTTTGTTTGAGGTATCTTCAAAGGAAAACCTGTTACAAGACATGACAAAGAAATAAAACTATTTGAAATTATTCAAATCTGAAGATTAGCGATTCTGTCGGGGGGGGGGGGGGGGGGGGGGGTGGGAGCCTAGGCCCCTTAATTTTGTCAAGCCCCTCCCCTAATCTTTGTATAGCACATGTAGAAAATGAATACAAGAATTCCCTCGCCCCCTGCCCTCGCCCCCCCCCCCAAAAAAAAAAATAAAAAAATAAATAAATAAATAAAATAATAAAAAAAATAATAAATAAATAAAATAAATAAAAGATAAAATAAAAAAATAAATAAATAAAATTAAAAAAAAAAAAAAAAATTAAGATAAAAAAGTAATTAAAAAAAAAAAAATCTAGAATTGCTCCTGCTAATAACCAAAGACAAACATTCTAAGGTAGGTTTTGCCCCTAGTTAACTGGAATAAGTAAATCAAATTACAAGATTTTCTTTCTTTAAGAAACAAACCTGTAACTTGAATAGAGGCTTCCCTCAAATGTAAAGGGGCAGTTCCATACCACCAATAATGATGGTCGATAATGATGACTTTAACTATGAAATCAGTCTCTTAAGCTCATGAAGAAAAGGTATCGGATATGTCACCAATCTCATGAAATTGGTGCTCCAGGCTCATTTAGCAAAAATCAATGAGCAACATCAATATACAAGAACCCTCCCACAAACATTTCCAGAGACTGATTAAAAAAAAAGA